AGGAGACATATCGGGAAACATGCTAATATCAAAAGAATCACGAAGCTTTTCAGGTGCGCCAGTTGATATTATTCATTCATAGCAAGCTTAAGAATTAATTTAATGACACAAATTAAATGTGACAAGGCAGATCAAAAGAGAGGGAAAAATGAGCAGAAAATTGAAAGAGTAACTAAAAAGTGATTGACATTGTAAAACAAGCAATTAATACTTTTGAAATGTTCACCGGTGGTGAATTGTGAAATAAATTTCATTTAAATGTCATTTCATTTAAACCATTTACTAATAACAAAAAATGTACTTTAATTAAAAGAAATAATTTCTTCATTTCCACAATTTATCCTATCTGTTTAAATTGAAATTCTGTGAAAATTCGAAAAACAATGGGAATATTGCGAAAAGAATGAATAAATTGCATTTAATAGCTAATTAGTTTTGTATTAATAGGTTAAACACTTCCATATATCAGTTCCTTCTTATTTTCAATTTTCATTTTCTATCGATCCCTCTGTTCTACTGGTTCCCAATTGGTGGTTCGTGGATCACCAATTGGAAACTGCGAGGACAATGATGCAATAAGTAGAAAATTATTAACGAAGCTTATTAGTTATAAATAAAACTTTGTCCTTTATGGTTGTAACTTTGTCCTTTTTTTATATTATAGTGTTACTTTTCTCGTTTAGTTAGTGAGTTGAACGTTCTGATTAAAGTTTATCTTTAAATTAAAAGAATTATTATTTTTTAACATTGTAGTTTCTGCTACAAATGAAAAAGCCAAAGTGGTCACTGGTTAAGAAAAAAGTTTATATACTACTTGTCTCTATGAATATTAAAAAAAAATAAAACAAAAATAAAACAAAGCTGCAAATAATTAATGTATGTAAATACCTCTTTTAGGATTCCTGTAATCATATCATAGAATTTGATAATTTCTATCATAGCCCTTCAATGAGATACAAATGAATAATGGCAATTAGAAATTTAACAAAAAATTTGGTTTAAAATTTAAAATTAACCTAAAAGACTAAAATTCAACTTAAAAAATTTAACCTAAAAGATTTTGTATATTAGAACAAAATAACAACTTATGGTACTCCTTGCAACACACATGTTAAATAATTGGCCATAATTATTGAGATTTTCGAGCTCCTTTAAAAAATTCATGGCTAAATTTTACGAACAAAGGTTTGAGCAAGGTTTTATCCACAATGCTCACTAAATGCTTGCTGCAAAACGCCACAAATATGAATGTATCCTTCCAGCCTGATTAGGGAATCTTTTTTAGGTTAAGTAAACTTGATCGGAACTAATCTTACACTTTACTACTTCGATTCATCTATTAGCATTAGTGAGTTAGGATGATGACAATGAAGTTCTCAGGATGTCGGTTTTGTTAAAAGCATTAGACAGATTGATGGACATGTCAGGTTAAATGAGGTCTGTTGGTTCAGGATATTAAGAATTAGTTGACATTATATCATATTCTATTCAGAGCCATAAAATAGAAAATCGATATGCCAGAGGATAGGATAATGTAGTGCAATATCTTCTTTTCAAATCAGCTCGATTTGCATTTTTGGAAAGGATTAACTGGATAAGTTGAAATTGCATAGGTGCAAATAAATGTGAACTGGAACATCGTGCAGCCAACAGTTAGCGTACTCGTATTGAAAACATACTCATAATATATCTTCTCATTATCTTTATAATTATCACTGATTAGTAATCTGTTTACCATTGACATCGTCGGTATACTAAGTCCAAAGACAAGTATTAAGGACAACAGCTTAAAAAATGTGGCCGATTATTACCTGTCTGTTTTGGTCCCACCATCGTGAGTAGTTGGCCTGATTGTTGAGTATATAAATTCGAATGTTTCTATTGGTAATAATCAGGACGCGGGGCGGCGGTGCCCTATCATTTTTTGGGAGGTCGCACTTCTAACGGCGACCATAAGTATTGACAATGATGAATGTGAAGCTCAAGCAAACATATTGCACAAATTCTGATCCCAAATCGACTTGACGTAAATAATCAGTACATAATTCTGTCAATTCCTCGAAAACATCGTCAAATAATTTATTTCTTCCAAAAATAAATAGGAAAAAACCATATGGTTATATATTCGTTCAATAATTTGGCAGATTTGATAGAAAAAATTAATCCAGATTATCTCAAACAAATATTTCTTTTCAGTATGCCACTATTCATCACATCACAATCTCTCATCTAAGCTAATGTTATCAGTTATTGAAAAGATAAGCTATTTCGGCGAATGCTTTCGTTCATTC